AACTAACTTAATTAAATCCTATTTACAATTTACGTCATGGCAAGTCAAACTTAGTTCATTGGTTCAAACCATTGTTTGAACTCTGCTGCTTGTTTCCGGTTCTACAGTGTTTATTCCCTTACCACCTGTAAATAAAGAGTTTCCGATCAGTTAGAGAGGAAATGAGCAAAAGTTTGATCGAAATGAAATCCAATACGAAAAATAAATGCAATTGACTCCCGATAACTTGAACCTTTAAGGAGAATTGAAGAAGGTTCCACTGAGTTACCGGGAGTTCGAGTTAACGGGAATTGAAAACAAGGGCTCGGGAATGAGGGAAAAACGGTGTTTACTGTTTTTCGTCTTATACAGTATACATTTTAATCCAATTCAATTACAGAGAAGTCGAATGAAAACGGAACGCAAAATTACTGAAAGTTACTCCGAGTTAGCGGGAGGCTCGAGTTATCTAGGGTTCGAGTAACCGGAGATAAAATTTCTGTAAATGTTTAAAGGAAATCCAGGGGAAATCGGTTTTGGTTCAAGTTAACACGCGAGGTTCAAGTCAGCAGGGGAAGATTTATGAGTACATGCAGTCGTTTAAGGCAATGGGGATGGGAAAAAAGGGCTCTGATTTGACCCATGTTTTCTATAATCCCCCAAAATATTTTTAATAAAATTGGGAAAAAATGGCTGGTGTGAGTTTTTTTTTTTTTTTTTCCTTTTCATTTCCAAGTGTAAATAGCTTAAACAGACAGCTAAACGTTCAATAGTTACTTTTAGCAATATTATTTGCCGTTAACGACAAGCTTAATTTCTCTATTTTAAAACAACTTCCTTTCTCATAAGCGAGGATTCTGAGACCAGCTGTCAAAATTCATTCATTATCAGATTTACATTCACATCAGCCCTCGCATTGAGCTATATTACTTAGCAATTAGCCACCATTTATTTTTCGAGGGATCTTCTTCAATGACCCAGGGCCATTATTCCTGTGTACGCCTCAAGCAAATTGAGTAAGTAGTTTAGTACATGGCACTCGGACCAAACTTGTTTATTTTGAATTATTGTATAGGTCTAATAAAAATTTGACTCCTATTAAAAAATAAAAAGTTCAGAATTGATGTAAACTGATAGGATACCTTCTTAATAACCGTCAACCGTTCAGACCCTAAAATTGAACCGTCAAAAGCCTTAAAATTTAACCCCTAACCGTCAAAACCGCAAAAATGAAACAATCGTCAACCGCCAGAACTACCTCCCCATTGAGATACTGTCACAAGATGTTGTGGATAAATAAAATTAGGAGTGTTTTGGAACAACCAAATTAGGAGTGTTTGGGAACAGCTGAAATGAGGAGTGTTTGGGAACAACTAAAATTAGGAGTGTTTGGGGGTTTTTCAGTTATGCCTGTTAATTAGTTTATCTCGAAATCTTTATGCCAGTCTTGTGAGCCTTGGTTTGTCATGTGCTGCAAGACCACACACTTATCTTCGCCTTTTGAGTGATTTGTCCTGACCGTTGTAGGAGGGCTTAATTCTCTCACGATAATCGTCATCGTTAGTCGTGTTTAGGTTTGCCCTTGACTTTGCTTTAAGTCTTCAACGGGAAGTTTTGTTGAAGTTTTAGTTCTCAAAGATTGGTTGTTTTTGAGTAATTTGGCACAAAGGCACAAATTCAATTACATTAACGGCTTTAGGCCGGAACGTTTTCAACAGAAAAAAATCAAATAAAGCAGGATCAGAGTAAATGCTTTGAAAACATTACTCGATAATGAGAGTCTTTCGATCAAGACGTATTACAAAAAGAATAAAAATATAATAAAATCGAAAGAAGAATGGATTAAGTATTTAACCTCAGTAATCAAAACTCGTATCAGTTTAAATACCATATTTGTCGGTTCAGTGTGAAACCTGAAAAAATGGAAAATAAGGTGAAAAAAAGGGAACTTTTCTAACTCTCAATTTAGTTCAATGCCACATGTTGACGTTATTTTTTATTTATTTCTAAACAAACGCGTGGAAACAAGGAATCTGTTTGATAAATTAATAAAAAATGACATAAATATGGTTATAGGAAGATCAGCAGTTAGAGATGCGTATATACGTATGATAGATGAGTATAATTACATGTGCTTTCTTTAAATAGAGTATTGGTAGCCTCCAGATACCTACTGGCTGAAGAGAAAACCTATCTCACAGTTCTGAGAAGGTTGCCAATAGTTACTGCAACTATGAATGAAACGAGGTGCTTTAGTCAAGAAGCCGGAAGGGTTGGAATCACCGTGGTATTCTGTTTGCAGCTTGTTGTTTCGTTGGTTGGAAATAGTTTTATCGCAATAGTTGTCTACAAGACGAAATCCCTGAGAAAACCCATTAACTTTTTAATTGTAAACGTGGCTATGTCTCATCTGACGCCTTCTTCGCCGCCATTTTGCATTTTGTGACTCGCGCTAAGTTAGCAGCTCCAGTCTACGGCTGGCCTGACGGTCATCTCAATGTTGAATGATAATTACTTCATTTTGGTACATTTGAGAAGTTATGACAATTCTTCATTCAGGGAGGAGATCGTGTTGCCTCAAAACATCACATTTCAACCAAGATCTTTTTCAGTAGGCTTACTCTGATAAATATTTCTAGATGAAAATTTTTTCTACTGATCCCTGTAATGTTCTTCTAAGTTTTTCCAAATTCCAATTGTTAACAACGACGGTAATAAAACTGGATTCACTTGACATTTATTGATCTCTACGTTCCGAAGCGTCAAGAATTTTGACGTTTAACAATCGTCTTGAAATAAATTCATCACAGATAACTCCGCAAAGTAAATTGACGAGCAAAATTACTTCAAATTATCGCCGGTAACGACTTGTACCAATTGGGAGAATATTCAAGACGCCGTTTAATGCAAATAGCGCCATGATTATGGAATATCAGTTTTAACAGCTGACAGCTACTAGCCTATTTCGGACAAAAATTCGTTTCCCTTACCTTTGTGGTTTTTTTAGACAGACGCAAATTAAACTAGTGCATGTAAGATGACAAATTCTCCAAAATTTTCCATCGTAGATTTTCTTAGCCTGTGAAAAGACTGGTCGTTATGAATGATAAAATGGAATAAAAACGACACGCAGTACAAAGTCATATGATGCGGATATTCAAAGATCCATGCCCCTTGCAAACCAGCTGCAATGTAGAGACAATTTTATTTTGCGTGGGTAATATTTACACGAGAAAAACAGTGGTTTCTTTCCCTCGACCAAAGAGAGCAAAAACAAAACAAAACAAATTGGAGCTTCCGTCCTGTGTAAGTTGGTGTCTTTCTCTCGGAAGTCTCCGCTGCTATAGAGCCTGGTTCTAATAGCAGTAGATTGATTTGGTGCTGTGGTATATCCCTTCCATTCTCCGTTCGTCAACTCAAAGCGGTGTTCCTTGTTCATCCTGGGTACTTGGATTATCGCCATGGCCATCTAGTCCCCTTTCTTTAGCGCCAATGAACTTGTTCAGTATCCCACAGCAGTGATAGAGTGTGAGCCTCACTGGGGAAATGTCTTTAGAGATACTTCTGAATTCTTAGACTACGTCGTGGCAAATATAAAAGCACTTTACTATATGCCTATGGTGTTGATTGCCTTTCAATACATTATTGAATTATTCCCCATGAGGAATCGAACCTCACACCATCGGATTCCGCAGTCCGATGCTCTAGAGCATGGAAGCGCGGAATATGAAGGTCTGAAGTTATTTTCGATCTCCCTGTCAAAATGTCCTGGATCTGCCTTTGTTTTATTTATTCTTTTTCTTCTGCGCAAAAACGATCTCGAATTTGATAACTTGTTCACTGAATGAAAAGCTTGTTGATAAAGGCGCTGTGAATATCATATGATCACGTGCGAGTGAACCAACTGTCCTCCTCCTTCAGACATAGCGGAGGCTTTATCTGGCTTTCTCCCACCGACTTCAGCAGCTGAGTAATTCTGTTCGGCGACGATCACCTAAGTTTTCTGAAACTTTCCGACCCATTTCTTAGATGGTATTGATGAGATAAGGAATGCCTAATTGACATATCGACGGAGTACAGAACATTAAACAATATTGTTGTTAGCTTTAACGCCCACTTATTCTCTTTGAGCTGTGAATCGTTATTCATTAAGTGCGAAAATAGGCAATATAAGCATTTATCTATTTACTTCATCTTTTCTCTTTTTCATAGAATAACTTGTCGTTCACATGGAAAGCGGGAAGAAGAACTCTTCAGTATCAATCCTTTACACGATCTGCTCGGCTGTTTTATCTCCTCGAGCATAGTGCTGGATGCTTTATTTGACTATTTTTTTCGCCAGCTTCAGCAGCTGTAAAATTCTGTTCAGCGACGTACAAATTCTCTTCGTGGAAAAAGAAAACTCCCCACTTAACATAAAAATTGTCCTGAGCCCTTCCCTTTTATTACAACTTCGTGAAAAGCCTTAAAATGTATTTGAAAAACCTCCAACCAGTCAACTGAGTAACGTGCCTACTGAGTAAGTTCCAGGCTGGATTAAACTTTCGATGACAACGTGATTAAAAATGAGTCCTGAATAAAAATGTTGGTGTAGAATATTGTCATTTGATTGATTGGCTTGTTTTAACACGTGATCATTATCAGTTAACATCTGTTGCTGGGATATTTCTGGAGTCTTTTTCTCGTCATTTCGTCAATAGTAACAATAATAATTTCAATAATAGGAACAACTTTCGAAAATTCTCCTTTTTTCTCCAACCATACTCTGAATTGGAAAAGTATATCGATAATATAACTCCGAACGAAAGCTATTAAACTCCACTCTGGTTATCTGTTGGAGGAAGTTTCGGGTGTAGACTGCTGATTTTCTTAAATTTCTAGCCATGTTTAATAATTAAGCATGTTTTATTTATATAGATAGATATGATTCATAAGCTATGTTTTTTCCGGCTTTGGTAGAATATAAGTGGCCTTCGCAGAGCTGCTGGCTGAAAACAAAACTGATCTCCTGGCACCGCAATATGTCAGCAAACGTGACAGCAACGATGAATGGAACACAGTCCATGTCGAGCTGCTTCAACCCCACAGCGACAAGAATTGGTGAAACCTTTGCCTACTGTCTGCTATTTGTTGTGTCGCTGGCTGGAAATATCCTCATTGGAATTATTGTCTACAAGGAAAAAGCTCTGAGAACACCAATCAACATTTTGATTGTAAACATGGCAATCTCCGATCTGTTGTACCCGATTATCTGTTTTCCTCTACTTTTTGTAAGGTTAAACACAGCCAGCCACTGGCCGCTCAGCGGTCCCCTTGGCTAAGCGTTGTGTAAACTGAGGAACTTCTCTACTGATGTCTCCATTGCTGTGTCCATTCAGAGCCTAGTTCTGATAGCAGTGGATCGATTTGTAGCTGTGGTATTTCCTCTCCGTCCCTCACTGATCAGTTCAAAGCGATGCAGGCTCTTCATTCTCGTAATTTGGGTCGTCGCCATGGCAGTCTCTTGCCCACAATTGCTTGTGTGGAAAGTTGTCGAGAATCCAGAAGTGCTGGTTTGTCAGCGGGAGTGGAATGACAAACTTAGAGAGTCCTCATGGATTAAAAACTACACTCTGGTAATGATCATTGTATTCCTCTATGTCCCTTTGGTTTTGATTGCCATACTTTATTTTTCCATTGCCGTAAGAATTAAATCGCAGCAGATTCCAGGTGAACCTTCAGTAAACGCAAGAAAACAGCGCTTGAAGAGAGAAAGAAGTGTTCTGAAGATGTCCGTTGCCATCGTGTTCGTTTTTGCAGTATGCTGGCTGCCATTCGGTATCGTTTTCCTCTTATTCTTGTTCTCATCAGACAGCGCCATGATATCATCTTGCGCCTTCCAATACCCTTCACACATTGCCTTTTTTCTGGCTCGATCATACTGCGCTGTAAACCCTTGTATCTGTTTCATATTCAGCGGTAATTATCGTCAAGGTCTTAAGAACCTCCTCGGCTGTTTCTCTACTAATCAAGTTGCCCAGACATAGTTGTCGCCCCAATCTTTTGCATATTATTCAGTGTTATTCGAGGAATAAAATTTGTTTCCCATGCCAACAGTTGATTGCGCACATTTTCAATCTTTGTTTTTGTTTTTCTAACTTGTAAGGTCAAACCTTTTTGAAAACTCTTGCATTTAGCATATCATATCGAAAATCTTACGAACATCGCTTTATTGCATCCAAAATGTTTGAAGCAGCACTCAGTGAAATTCAGTTAATAAATAGAAGAGAGTATTACGATTTTTCCTTTTTTCCTCGTTTATCTATTTTCAGATGTACATGAAAAGGGACAACGTATTTTACCGAGATGAACTGCGATCTCTATAGGATACGTTAAATCCAGTTGTTTCCCAAAACTTGTAAATAATATTTATTTAATACATTTACGTTAGTTTACCTTATAGCAAGAGAAACTTTGTTCAACGGTTCAAACCGTTTTTTGAACTCTGACTTAAGGATTTCGGTTGTATTGTGTACAGTTTGCGGTTAGTAAAGTTTTACACTCTTCGTGTAAAATAAAGAGGTTTCCAATCAATATGTGATGGAAAAATAAAAAGTAAAATCTTATTGACATCTAATATTACAAATAAATATTATCAAGAAAGCAATGGAAACTGGTTCTGTTTCTGCTTCAGCTTCAGATTATTTGTCATCACGGTCATTCCTTTTTATGGAAAATTAGAGTTTTGGGGAAAAAAAACCCTAATGGATCAAAAATTGCCACTCTTCCTGAATTCTAACGAGTGCTGAGTTAACTTTAAAAACCTTTAGTCATATTTTTTTACATTGAGAGTAAATGTTACAGAGTCCATTAGGAGGCCAACCGAATTTAAAAAAATTCTCATTAAAAAACCGAACTTTTAACGTTCTTCTGGGAGGGACAAACCCTGGAGAAGAAGAGGGCGACCTAATGATGAGGACTGTAACTAAAAGTATATATGACCGTAAGCAAAGTGCAGGCTCAGAACTTGTCTGACTCCTGTGAGCCTCATAACGGGGAGGGAGCCTAGAAAGCATCTGCACATTTTACTGCGCATGTCGAACTTGCTTGGGCTCATAATGGAAACCGTAGAGGGTAGCAAAGCTGTCTGACTCTCGTGAGTCTCATATTTTCCGCGCAGAAATATATCAATAGGTGTGATCTGCATATCATGGAAACTTTGAAAAGAGAACATTTTACCGTTTCAATGAGCGACATATGTCCAAAAGAGCCCCTAAATTACAGGGTGATCCTATTCAATGGAATGATAGAACGCTGGAACCGTGAACGGTAGAACGGCGGAATAGTTGAATGGCGGAATATCCCAAAACCCGTCTTAAGAAGTGAAATAGCGGAATATCCCAAAACGCGGAATGCCTTTCTATATGAAACAAAAGTCTCACAAAATAGAATTGTGATGAAATACGAAAATAATTCAGAAAGCATTACATGAAACACTTATGAAAGGCTGTTTCGAAAAAGCAAATACATCGCAGAACTAGCTACTTAGCATAAAATGAGCGAAACGATTTGATTCAAAAACTATTACATGCCTAACCTATTCTGAATAACAGCTGGCCATCTGTCGGGTTTTAATTGATGTTTTGGTGCCAATTATTATTTTTGGGTGTATAAGGTAGAAGGATTATCGCAGATTGAAAATCAAACAAAATAGATATAAGCATCTGTAAGATATCCTTGCATCTAAATTGGGGAACCTATTTTTCTCTGTCTCCAATTTTGGTTACAATTGTAAAAATTGTTGTTGAAGTACAAAAGTTCGAATTTTGCATCGAACAGTTAAAGTAAAAATTAAGTGTAAATTTTGTACTATTTTTTCGTTATAAAAGAATAGGTGGCTTCTAGAGTTAGAGAGCAGCTTGCTGAAGACGACACTGATCCTACAGTTCCAAGAATGTCGGCAAATGTTAGTGCGACGGTGAATGGAACACCGGTAACACTGAACTGCTTGGATCTAGATGTAAAGAGGATTGGTAAAACCTTTTTTTGCGGCCTGTTACTTGTTTTCTCAGTGTCTGGAAGTTTTTTCATCGCAATAATTGTCCACAAAACTAGATCCATGAGAAAGCCTATCAACTTTTTCTTGGTAAATATGGCCATATCCGATCTTCTGTTTTTCCTTTTTTACAACAAACAACACAAACGCTCGGCTCCTGTTTGATCAGCGGTCCTCTTGGAGATGCGTCGTGTAAGCTGACTGTCTTCTTGGGAGATATCTGCTTTAGCGTGTCTATTCAAAGCCTAGTTTTAATAGCATTCAATCGATTTGGAGCTGTATATTTTTCCCTCCGTCCCTAACTGATCAGTTCAAAGCTGTGTCAGTTCCTTATTCTTTTCACTTGGATCATCGCTATTCTCACCAGCATCTCGATGAAATAAGTTAACAAATGGAAGCTATTTCCATGGTTTTTCTGTTTTTTCTATTTTTTCAGTTGGTAGTTGTTTTACGATCGCAACTAGTTATTACACTTTTGTTTTTGATTTTTTGTTTTTTTTTTTTTGGGGGGGGAGGTCTGTTTATTTTCAACTGAACGTGCATAATGAAAAATTACGTCACTGAGATAAACCGGATTTCCCTCAGACCTATTAGGTCCAATTATTTCACGAAACTTAGAAATAATCATGAATTGAAATGTCTGCTTTGAGAACTAACTTACTTAAATCCTATTTACAATTTACATTACGGCAAGTCAAACTTAGTTCATTGGTTCAAACCATTGTTTGAACTCTGCTGCTTGTTTTCCGGTTCTACAGTGTTTATTCCCTTACCACCTGTAAATAAAGAGTTTCCGATCAGTTAGAGAGGAAATGAGCAAAAGTTAGATCGAAATGAAATCCAATACGAAAAATAAATGCAATCGACTCCCGATAACTTGAACCTTTAAGGAGAATTGAAGAAGGCTCCACTGAGTTACCGGGAGTTCGAGTTAACGGGAATTGAAAACAAGGGCTCGGGAATGAGGGCAAAACGGTGTTTACTGTTTTTCGTCTTATACAGTATACATTTTAATCCAATTCAATTGCAGAGAATTCGAATGAAAACGGAACGCAAAATTACTGAAAGTTACTCCGAGTTAGCGGGAGGCTCGAGTTATCGAGGGTTCGAGTTACCGGAGATAAAATTTCTGTAAATGTTTAAAGGAAATCCAGGGGATATCGGTTTTGGTTCAAGTTAACACGCGAGGTTCAAGTCAGCAGGGGAAGATTTATGAGTACATGCAGTCGTTTAAGGCAATGGGGATGGGAAAAAAGGGCTCTGATTTGACCCATGTTCTCTATAATCCCCCAAAATATTTTTAATAAAATTGGGAAAAAATGGCTGGTGTGAGTTTTTTTTTTTTTTTCATTTCCAAGTGTAAACAGCTTAAACAGACAGCTAAACGTTCAATAGTTACTGTTAGCAATATTATTTGCCGTTAACGACACGCTTAATTTCTCTATTTTAAAACAACTTCCTTTCTCATAAGCGGGGATTCTGAGACCAGCTGTCAAAATTCATTCATTATCAGATTTACATTCACATCAGCCCTCGCATTGAGCTATATTACTTAGCAATTAGCCACCATTTATTTGTCGAGGGATCTTCTTCAATGACCCAGGGCCATTATTCCTGTGTACGCCTCAAGCAAAGTGAGTAAGTAGTTTAGTACATGGCACTCGGACCAAACTTGTTTATTTTGAATTATTGTATAGGTCTTAATAAAAATTTGACTCCTATTAAAAAATAAAAAGTTCAGAATTGATGTAAACTGATAGGATACCTTCTTAATAACCGTCGACCGTTCAGACTCTAAAATTGAACCGTCAAAAGCCTTAAAATTTAACCCCTAACCGTCAAAACCGCAAAAATGAAACAATCGTCAACCGCCAGAACTACCTCCCCATTGAGATACTGTCACAAGATGTTATGGATAACTAAAATTAGGAGTGTTTTGGAACAACCAAATAAGGAGTGTTTGGGAACAGCTAAAACGAGGAGTGTTTGGAAACAACTAAAATTAGGAGTGGTTGGGGATTGTTCAGTTATGCCTGTTAATTAGTTTATCTCGAAATCTTTATGCCAGTCTTGTGAGCCTTGGTTTGTCATGTGCTGCAAGACCACACACTTATCTTTGCCTTTTGAGTGATTTGTCCTGACCGTTGTAGGAGGGCTTAATTCTCCCACGATAATCATCATCGCTAATCGTGTTTAGGTTTGCCCTTGACCTTGCTATAAGTCTTCAACGGGGAGTTTTGTTTACGTTTTAGTTCTCAAAGATTGGTTGTTTTTGAGTAACTTGTTGTTAATTTCGAATGTCTTGTGAGATTGTTTTAGTTAGCATTCTAAAAAATATGTTTACTCCGCCAAGGTCAGTTGTTCCGTATGCCCAAACATGCTTATCGTAGGATATTTAAGAGCGTGTACTTCGAGTTGAATTCGTGAGAACAGAGACAGAAATACATTTCCTGAACAGATTCTTGGTGTCTCCCGTTTGCTCAAGTTGCTCAATCTAATTAACACCAAACAGTCCAGCAAAGAAAGCTATGCAACGAGGTAGGAGATCTCTTTTGCCACTACACAGTTTTGGGCGATAAATGAAATGTGATATATTTTACATTGGTTTTTTAAGTTTAAGTTTCACTTAACTTTCACTTCAAGAAACGGCACTGAGCACTTTTTAAATGTGCCCTTACACTAGGCTTGATATGTTCCGTATTTATATCGATGCACAATTATCTACAAAATTGAATTTACCTCAGATCGTGTTACTCTGAAGGAGATTAAAACATCTTTCATACCACTATGAACATTGGACAACTGCTTGATACTCAAGCAAGTAAATGTTTTGCAGTCAATTCATTATGAACATTTCATAAGTTTACACTTGTTTTCAGTTGTAGAGAAGTTGTAGGCTACAATTTGCATACAGACCAAAATTGCGGACAAGGCATAGAGGCACAAATTCAATTACATTAACGGCTTTAGGCCGGAACGTTTTCAACTGAAAAAAATAAAATAAAGCAGGATCAGAGTAAATACTTTGAAAACATTACTCGATAATGAGAGTCTTTCGATCAAGACGTATTACAAAAAGAATAAAATATGATAAAATCGAAAGAAGAATGGATTAAGCATTTAACCTCAGTAATCAAAATTCGTGTCAGTTTAAATACCATATTTGTCGGTTCAGTGTGAAACCTGAAAAAATGGAAAATAAGGTGAAAAAAAGGGAACTTTTCTAACTCTCCATTTAGTTTAATGCCACATGTTGACGTCATTTTTTATTTATTTCTAAACAAACGCGTGGAAACAAGGAATCTGTTTGATAAATTAATAAAAAATGACATAAATATGGTTATAGGAAGATCAGCAGTTAGAGATGCGTATATACGTATGATAGATGAGTATAATTACATGTGCTTTCTTTAAATAGAGTATTGGTAGCCCTCACAGTTCTGAGAAGGTCGACAATAGTTACTGCAACTATGAATGAAACGAGGTGCTTTAGTCAAGAAGCTGGAAGGGTTGGAATCACCGTGGTATTCTGTTTGCAACTTGTTGTTTCGTTGGTTGGAAATAGTTTTATTGCAATAGTTGTCTACAAGACGAAATCCCTGAGAAAACCCATTAACTTTTTAATCGTAAACGTGGCTTCGCCGCCATTTTCCATTTTTTGCCTCGTGCTACCTTAGTAGCTCCAGTCTACCGCTGGCCTCATGGTCATCTCAATGTTGAATGATAAGTACTTCATTTTGGCACATTTGAGAAGTTATGATAATTCTTCTTTCAGGGAGGAGATCGTGTTGCCTCAAAACATCACATTTCAACCAAGATCTTTTTCAGTACGTTTACTCTGATAAATGTTTCTAGATGAAATTTTTTTCTCCTGATCCCTGTAATGTTCTTCTAAGTTTTTCCAAATTCCAATTGTTAACAACGACGGTAATAAAACTGGATTCACTTGACATTTATTGATCTCTACGTTCCGAAGCGTCAAGAATTTTGACGTTTAATAATCGTCTCGAAATAAGTTCATCACAGATAACTCCGCAAAGTAAATTGACGAGCAAAACGACTTCAAATTATCGCCGGTTACGGCTTGTACCAATTGGGAGAATATTCAAGACGCCGTTTAATGCAAATAGCGCCATGATTATGGAATATCAGTTTTAACAGCTGACAGCTACTAGCCTATTTCGGAAAAAATTTCGTTTCCCTTAATTTTGTGGTTTTTTTAGACAGACGCAAATTAAACTAGTGCATGTAAGATAACAAGTTCTCCAAAATTTTCCATCGTAGATTTTCTTAGCTTGTAAAAAGACTGGTCGTTATGAATGATAAAATGGAATAAAAACGACACGCAGTACAAAGTCATATGATGCGGATATTCAAAGATCCATGCCCCTTGCAAACCGGCTGCAATGTAGAGACAATTAAATTTTGCGTGGGTAATATTTACACGAGAAAAACAGTGGTTTCTTTCCCTCGACCAAAGAGAACAAAAACAAAACAAAACGAATTGGAGCTTCCGTCTTGTGTAAGTTGGTGTCTTTCTCTCGGAAGTCTCCGCTGCTATGCCAATTCAGAGCCTGGCCGATATCATGCTGTGGTGTATCCCTTCCATTCTCCGTTCGTCAACTCAAAGCGGTGTTCCTTGTTCATCCTGGGTACTTGGATTATCGCCATGGCCATCCAGTCCCCTTTCTTTATCGCCAATGAACTTGTTCAGTATCCCACAGCAGTGATAGAATGTGAGCCTCACTGGGGAAATGTCTTTAGAGATACTTCTGAATTCTTAGACTACGTCGTGGCAAATATAAAAGCACTTTACTATATGCCTATGGTGTTGATTGCCTTTCAATACATTATCATTATTTGTAAATAGAATATGAGAGAAAGTAAGTTTTGAGCTCGGTAAGGAAATAGAAAAAGATGTTTTTCGTCTTGTCACGAGCGTGGGACAAAGAAAACATTCGGAGTCCCCATGAGGAATCGAACCTCACACCATCGGATTCCGCAGTCCGATGCTCTAGAGCATGGAAGCGCGGAATATGAAGGTCTGAAGTTATTTTCGATCTCCCTGTCAAAATGTCCTGGATCTGCCTTTGTTTTATTTATTCTTTTTCTTCTGCGCAAAAACGATCTCGAATTTAATAACTTATTCACTGAATGAGAAGCTTGATGATAAAGGCGCTGTAAATATCATTTATACGGTGTGATCACGTGCAAGTGAACCAACTGTCCTCCCCCCTCAGACATAGCGGAGGCTTTATCTGGCTTCCTTCCACAGACTTCAGCAGCTGAGTAATTTTGTTCGGCGACGATCACCTAAATTTCTGAAACTTTCCAACCCATTTCTTACTGAGATGGTATTGATGAGAGAAGGAATGCCTAATTGACATTAAACAATGTTGTTGATGGCTTTAACGCCCACTTATTCTCTTCAAATCGTTATTCATTAAGTACGAAAATAGGCAATATGAGCATTTATCTATTTACTTCATCTTTTCTCATGGAAAGCTGGAAGAAGAACTCTTCAGTATCAATCCTTTACACGATCTGCTCGGCTGTTTTATCTCCTCGAGCATAGTGCTGGATGCTTTATTTGACTATTTTTTTCGCCAGCTTCAGCAGCTGTAAAATTCTGTTCAGCGACGTACAAATTCTCTTCGTGGAGAAAGAAAACTCCCCACTTAACATAAAAATTGTCCTGAGCCCTTCCCTTTCATTACAACTTCGTGAAAAGCCTTAAAATGTACTTGAAAAACCTCCAACCAGTCAACTGAGTAACGTGCCTACTGAGTAAGTTCCAGGCTGGATTAAACTTTCGATGACAACGTGATTAAAAATGAGTCCTTAATAAAAATGTCGGTGTAGAATATTGTCATTTGATTGATTGGCTAGTTTTAACACGTCATCATTATCAGTAAACATCTGTTGCTGGGATATTTCTGGAGTCTTTTTCTCGTCATTTCGTCAATAGTAACAATAATAATTTCAATAATAGGAACAACTTTCGAAAATTGTCCTTTTTTCTCCAACCATACTCTGAATTGGAAAAGTATATCGATAATATAACTCCGAACGAAAGCTATTAAACTCCACTCTGGTTATCTGTTGGAGGAAGTTTCGGGTGTAGACTGCTGATTTTCTTAAATTTCTAGGCATGTTTAATAATTAAGCATGTTTTATTTATATAGATAGATATGATTCATAAGCTATGTTTTTTCCGGCTTTGGTAGAATATAAGTGGCCTTCGCAGAGCTGCTGGCTGAAAACAAAACTGATCTCCTGGCACCGCAATATGTCAGCAAACGTGACAGCAACCATGAATGGAACACAGTCCATGTCGAGCTGCTTCAACCCCACAGCGACAAGAATTGGTGAAACCTTTTCCTGCTATCTGCTATTTGTTGTGTCGCTGGCTGGAAATATCCTCATTGGAATTATTGTCTACAAGGAGAAAGCTCTGAGAACACCAATCAACATTTTGATTGTAAACATGGCAATTTCCGATCTGTTGTTCTCGATTATCATTTTTCCTGCACTTTTTGTAAGGTTAAACACAGCCAGCCACTGGCTGCTCAGCGGTCCATTTGGCCAAGCGTTGTGTAGGTTAAAGTATTTCGTTATTGCTGTCTCCATTGCTGTGTCCATTCAGATCCTAGTTCTCATAGCAGTGGATCGATTTGTAGCTGTGGTATTTCCTCTCCGTCCCTCACTGATCAGTTCAAAGCGATGCAGGCTCTTCATTCTCGTAATTTGGGTCGTCGCCATGGCAGTCTCTTGCCCACAATTGTTTACGTGGAAAGTTGACGAGTATGCAGAAGGACTGGTTTGTCAGCTGGGGTTGAACGACAAATTTAGAGAGTCCTCATGGATTAAAAACTACACTGTGGTAACGATCAATGTATTCACCTATGTCCCTTTGGTTTTGATTGCCATACTTTACTTTTCCATTGCCGTAAGAATTAAATCGCAGCAGATTCCAGGTGAGCCTTCAGTAAACGCAAGAAAACAGCGCTTGAAGAGAGAAAGAAGTGTTCTGAAGATGTCCGTCGCCATCGTGTTCGTTTTTGCAGTATGTTGGCTGCCATTCAGTATCGTTGTCTTCTTACTCTTGTTTTCATCAGACAGCGCCATGATGTCATCTTGTGCCTTCCAATACTCTACACATATTGCCTTTTTTCTGGCTGCATCATACTGCGCTGTAAACCCTTTAATCTGTTTCATATTCAGCGGTTATTATCGTCAGGGTCTTAAGAACCTCCTCGGCTGTTTCTCTACTAATAGAGCTGCCCAGACATAGTTGTTGCCCCAATCTTTTGCATATTATTCAGCGTTATTCGAGGAATAATATTTGTTTCCCATGCCAACAGTTGATTGCGCACATTTTCAATCTTTGTTTTTGTTTTTCTAACTTGTAAGGTCAAACCTTTTTGAAAACTGTTGTGTTTAGCATATCATATCGAAAATAACAGTCAAGCTCTTACGAACATCGCTTTATTGCATCCAAAATGTTTGAAGTAGCACTCAGTGAAATTCAGTTAATAAATAGAAGAGAGTATTACGATTTTTCCTTTTTTCCTCGCTTATCTATTTTCAGCTGCACATGAAAAAGGACAACGTATTTACCGAGATTAACTGCGATCTCTATAGGATACGTTAAATCCAGTTGTTTCCCAAAACTTGTAAATAATATTCATTTAGTACATTTACGTTAGTTTACCTTAAAGCAAGAGAAACTTTGTTCAACGGTTCAAACCGTCTTTTGAACTCTGACTTAAGGATTTCGGTTGTATTGTGTACAGTTTGCGGTTATTAAAGTTTTACACTCTTCGTGTAAAATAGAGAGGTTTCCAATCAATATGCAATGGAAAAAGATAAAGTAAAATCCACTTGACATCTAATATTACAAATAAATATTATCAAGAAAGCAATGGAAACTGGTTCTGCTTCTGCTTCAGCTTCAGATTATTTGTCATCACGGTCATTCCTTTTTATGGAAAATTAGAGTTTTGGGGAAAAAAACCCTAATGGATCAAAAATTGCCTCTCTTCCTGAATTCTAACGAATACTGAGTTAACTTTAAAAACCTTTAGTCATATCTCTTTTCATTTAGAGTAAATGTTACAGAGTCCATTAGGAGGTCAATTTCACATGAAAAAACCGAACTTTTGACATTCTTCTGGGAGGGACAAACCCTGGAGAAGAAGAGGGCGACCTAATGATGAGGACTGTAACTAAAAGTACGTATGAGAGTAAGCAAAGTGCAGGCTCAGAACTTGTCTGACTCCTGTGAGCCTCATAACGGGGAGAGGGCCTAAAAAGCATCTGCATATTTTACTGCGCATGTCGAAGTTGCTTGGGCTCATAATGGAAACCGTGTAGAGGGTAGCAAAGCTGTCTGACTCTTGTGAGTCTCATATTTACCGTGCAGAAATATATCAATAGGTGTGATCTGCTTATCGTGGAAACTTTGAAAAGAGAACATTTTACCGTTTCAATGAGCGACATATGCCCAAAAGAGCCGCTAAATTACAGGGTGACCCTATTCAATGGAATGATAGAACGCTGGAACCGTGAACGGTAGAACGGCGGAATAGTTGAATGGCGGAATATCCCAAAACCCGTCTTAAGAAGTGGAATAGCGGAATATCCCAAAACGCGGAATGCCTTGCTGTATGAAACAAAAGTCTCACAAAATAGAATTGTGATGAAATACGAAAATAATTCAGAGAGCATTACATGAAACACTTATGAAAGGCTGTTTCGAAAAAGCAAATACATCGCAGAACTAGCTACTTAGCATAAAATGAGCGAAACGATTTGATTCAAAAACTATTACATGCCTAACCTATTCTGAATAACAGCTGGCAATCTGTCGGGTTTTAATTGATGTTTTGGTGCGAATTGTTATTTTTGGGTGTATAGGGTAGGAGGATTATCGCAGATTGAAAATCAAACAAAATAAATATAAGCATCTGTAAGATATCCTTGCATCTAAATTAGGGAACCTATTTTTCTGTGTCTCCAATTTTGGTTACAATTGTAAAAATTGTTGTTGAAGTACAAAAGTTCGAATTTTGCATCGAACAGTTAAAGTACAAATTAAGTGTAAATTTTTTACTATTTTTTCGTAATAAAAGAATAGGTGGCTTCTAGAGTTAGAGAGCAGCTTGCTGAAGACGACACTGATCCTACAGTTCCAAGAATGTCGGCAAATGTTAGTGCGACGGTGAATGGAACACCGGTAACACTGAACTGCTTGGATCTAGATGTAAAGAGGATTGGTAAAACCTTTTTTTGCGGCCTGTTACTTGTTTTCTCAGTGTCTGGAAGTTTTTTCATCGCAATAATTGTCCACAAAACTAGATCCATGAGAAAGCTTATCAACTTTTTCGTGGTAAATATGGCCATATCCGATCTTCTGTTTTTCCTTTTTTACAACAAACAACACAAACGCTCGGCTCCTGGTTGATCAGCGGTCCTCTTGGAGATGCGTCGTGTAAGCTGACTGTCTTCTTGGGAGATATCTGCTTTAGCGTGTCTATTCAAAGCCTAGTTTTAATAGCATTCAATCGATTTGGAGCTGTATATTTTTCCCTCCGTCCCTAACTGATCAGTTCAAAGCTGTGTGAGTTCCTTATTCTTTTCACTTGGATCATCGCTATTCTCACCAGCATCTCGATGAAATAAGTTAACAAATGGAAGCTATTTCCATGGTTTTTCTGTTTTTTGTATTTTTTCAGTTGGTAGTTGTTTTACGATCGCAACTAGTTATTACACTTTTGTTTTTGATTTTGTTTTGTTTTGTTTTTTTTTTGGGGGGGGGAGGTCTGTTTATTTTCAACTGAACGTGCATAATGAAAAATTACGTCACTGAGATAAACCGGATTTCCCCCAGACCTATTAGGTCCAATTATTTCACGAAACTTAGAAATAATCATGAATTAAAATGTCTGCTTTGAAAACTAACTTACTTAAATCCTATTTACAATTTACATTATAGCAAGTGAAACTTAGTTCCGTTGGTTCAAACCGTTGTTTGAACTCTGCTGCTTGTTTTCCGGTTCAACAGTGTTTATTCCCTTATCACCTGTAAATAAAGGGTTTCCGATCAGTCAGAGAGGAAATGAGCAAAAGTTTGATCGAAATGAAATCCAATACGAAAAATAAATACAATTGACTCCCGATAACTTGAACCTTTAGGGAGAATTGAAGAAGGTTCCACTGAGTTACCGGGAGTTCGAGTTAACGGTACATTTGAGAAGTTATGATAATTCTTCATTCAGGGAGGAGATCGTGTTGCCTCAAAACATCACATTTCAACCAAGATCTTTTTCGGTAGGCTTACTCTGATAAATGTTTCTAGATGAAAATTTTTTCCCCTGACCCCTTTAATGTTCTTCTAAGTTTTTCCAAATTCCAATTGTTAGCAACGACGGTAATAAAACTGGATTCACTTGACATCTATTGATCTCTACGTTCTGAAGCGTCAAGAATTTTGACGTTTAACAATCGTCTTGAAATAAGTTCATCACATATAACTCCGTAACGGGAATTGAAAACAAGGGCTCGGGAATGAGGGCAAAACGGTGTTTACTGTTTTTCGTCTTATACAGTATACATTTTAATCCAATTCAATTGCAGAGAATTCGAATGAAAACGGAACGCAAAATTACTGAAAGTTACTCCGAGTTAGCGGGAGGCTCGAGTTATCGAGGGTTCGAGTTACCGGAGATAAAATTTCTGTAAATGTTTAAAGGAAATCCAGGGGAAATCGGTTTTGGTTCAAGTTAACACGCGAGGTTCAAGTCAGCAGGGGAAGATTTATGAGTAAATGCAGTCGTTTAAGGCAATGGGGATGGGAAAAAAGGGCTCTGATTTGACCCATGTTCTCTATAATCCCCCAAAATATTTTTAATAAAATTGGGAAAAAATGGCCGGTGTGAGTTTTGTTTTTTTTTTTTTTCATTTCCAAGTGTAAACAGCTTAAACAGACAGCTAAACGTTCAATAGTTACTGTTAGCAATATTATTTGCCGTTAATGACACGCTGGCTGAAGAGAAAACCTATCTCACAGTTCTGAGAAGGTCGGCAATAGTTACTGCAACTATGAATGAAACGAGGTTCTTTAGTCAAGAAGCTGGAAGGGTTGGAATCACCGTGGTATTCTGTTTGCAACTTGTTGTTTCGTTGGTTGGAAATAGTTTTATCGCAATAGTTGTCTACAAGACGAAATCCCTGAGAAAACCCATTAACTTTTTAATTGTAAACGTGGCTGTCTCATCTGACGCCTTCTTCGCCGCCATTTTGCATTTTGTGACTCGCGCTACCTTAGCAGCTCCAGTCTACGGCTGGCCTCACGGTCATCTCAATCTTGAATGATAATTACTTCATTTTGGTACATTTGAGAAGTTATGATAATTCTTCATTCAGGGAGGAGATCGTGTTGCCTCAAAACATCACATTTCAACCAAGATCTTTTTCGGTAGGCTTACTCTGATAAATGTTTCTAGATGAAAATTTTTTCCCCTGACCCCTTTAATGTTCTTCTAAGTTTTTCCAAATTCCAATTGTTAGCAACGACGGTAATAAAACTGGATTCACTTGACATCTATTGATCTCTACGTTCTGAAGCGTCAAGAATTTTGACGTTTAACAATCGTCTTGAAATAAGTTCATCACATATAACTCCGTAAATTGACGAGCAAAACGACTTCAAATTATCGCCGGTTACGGCTGGTACCAATTGGGAGAATATTCAAGACGCCGTTTAATGCAAATAGCGCCATGATTATGGAATATCAGTTTTAACAGCTGACAGCTACTAGCCTATTTCGGAAAAAATTTCGTTTCCCTTAACTTTGTGGTTTTTTTAGACAGACGCAAATTCAACTAGTGCATGTAAGATAACAAATTCTCCAAAATTTTTCATCGTAGATTTTCTTAGCCTGTGAAAAGACTGGTCGTTATGAATGATAAAATGGAATAAAAACGACACGCAGTGCAAAGTCATATGATGCGGATATTCAAAGATCCATGCCCTTTGCAAACCGGCTGCAATGTAGAGACAATTTTATTTTGCGTGGGTAATATTTACACGAGAAAAACAGTGGTTTCTTTCCCTCGACAAAAGAGAACAAAAACAAAACATAACGAATTAGAGCTTCCGTCTTGTGTTAGTTGGTGTCTTTCTCTCGGAAGTCTCCGCTGCTATGTCAATTCAGAGCCTGGCCGATATCATGCTGTGGTGTATCCCTTCCATTCTCCGTTCGTCAACTCAAAGCGGTGTTCCTTGTTCATCCTGGATACTTGGATTATCGCCATGGCCATCAAGTCCCCTTTCTTTATCGCCAATGAACTTGTTCAGTATCCCACAGCAGTGATAGAGTGTGAGCCTCACTTGGGAAATGTCTTCAGAGATACTTCTGAATTCTTAGACTACGTCGTGGCAAATATAAAAGCACTTTACTATATGCCTATGGTGTTGATTGCCTTTCAATACATTATCATTATTTGTAAATAGAATATGAGAGACGGTTAGTTTTGAGCTCGGTAAGGAAATAGAAAAAGATGTTTTTCGTCTTGTCACGAGCGTGGGACAAAGAAAACGTTCGGAGTCCCCATGAGGAATCGAACCTCACATCATCGGATTCCGCAGTCCGATGCTCTAGAGCATGGAAGCGCGGAATATGAAGGTCTGAAGTTATTTTCGATCTCCCTGTCAAAATGTCCTGGATCTGCCTTTGTTTTATTTATTCCTTTTCTTCTGCGCAAAAACGATCTCGAATTTGATAACTTGTTCACTGAATGAAAATCTTGTTGATAAAGGCGCTGTGAATATCATATGATCACGTGCAAGTGAACCAGCTGTCCTTCCCGCTCAGACATAGCGGAGGCTTTATCTGGCTTTCTCCCACCGACTTCAGCGGCTGAGTAATTCTGTTCGGCGACGATCACCTAAGTTTTCGGAAACTTTCCGACCCATTTCTTAGATGGTATTGATGAGATAAGGAATGCCTAATTGACATATCGACGGAGCACAGAACATTAAACAATATTGTTGTTAGCTTTAACGCCCACTTATTCTCTTTGAGCTGCGAATCGTTATTCATTAAGTGCGAAAATAGGCAATAAAAGCATTTATCTATTTACTTCATATTTTCTTTTTTTCGTAGAATAACTTGTCGTTCACATGGAAAGCTGGAAGAGGAACTCTTCAGTATTAATCCTTTACACGATCTGCTCGGCTGTTTTATCTCCTCGAGCATAGTGCTGGATGCTTTATTTTCCAATTTTTTCCCGCCAGCTTCAGCAGCTGTAAAATTCTGTTCAGCGACGTACAAATTCTCTTCGTGGAAAAAGAAAACCCCCCCACCTAACATAAAAATTGTCCTGAGCCCTTCCCTTTTATTACAACTTCGTGAAAACCCGAAAAATGGAAAAAACCTCCAACCAGTCTACTGAGAAACGATCCTATTGAGTAAGTTACAGGCTGGATTAAACTTTCGATAATAACGTGATTAAAAATGAATCCTTAATAAAAATGTCTGAGTAGAAAATTGTCATTAGATTATTTGGCTTGTTTTAATACGTGATCATTATCAGTAAACATCTGTTGCTGGATATTTCTGGAGTCTTTTTCTCGTCATTACGTCAATAGTTATAATAATAATTTCAATAATAGAAACAACCTAGAACTTTCGAAAATTGTCCTTTTTTCTCCAACCATACTCTGAATTGGAAAAGTATCTCGATAATATTACTCCGAACGAAAGCTATTAAACTCCGACTCTGGTTATCTCAGTTGGAGGAAGTTTCGGGTGTAGACTGCCAATTTTCTCAAATTTTTAGGCATGTTTAATAATTAAGCATGTTTTATTTATATAGATAGATGATTCATAACCTATGTTTTTTCCGGCTTTGGTAAAATATATGTGGCCTTCGCAGAGCTGCTGGCTCAAAACAAAACTAATCTCCTGGCACCGCAATATGTCAGCAAACGTGACAGCAACGATGAATGGAACACAGTCCATGTCGAGCTGCTTCAACCCCACAGCGATAAGAATTGGTGAAACCTTTGCCTACTGTCTGCTACTTGTTGTGTCGCTGGCTGGAAATATCCTCATTGGAATTATTGTCTACAAGGAGAAAGCACTGAGAACACCAATCAACATTTTGATTGTAAACATGGCAATCTCCGATCTGTTGTACCCGATTATCCGTTTTCCTCTACTTTTTGTAAGGTTAAACACAGCCAGCCACTGGCTGCTCAGCAGTCCACTTGGCCAAGCGTTTTGTAAACTGAGTTGCTTCGCCACTGACGTCTCCAGTGCTGTGTCCATTCAGAGCCTGGTTCTGATAGCAGTGGATCGATTTGTAACTGTGGTATTTCCTTTCCGTTCCTCACTGATCAGTTCAAAGCAATGCAGGCTCTTCATTCTCGTCATTTGGATCGTCGCCGTGGTAGTCTTTGGCCCATTATTGTTTACGTGGGAATTTGTCGAGTATCTAGAAGGGCCGGTTTGTCACCAGGAGTGGAAGGGCACATTTGAAGAGTTCTCATCGTTTAAAAACTACATTCTGGTAACGATCATTGTATTAATCTATGTCCCTTTGGTTTTGATTGCCATACTTTACTTTTCCATTGCCATAAGAATTAAATCGCAGAAGATTCCAGGGGAGCCTTCAGTAAACGCAAGAAAACAGCGCTTGAAGAGAGAGAGAAATGCTCTGAAGATGTCCATTGCCATCGTGTTCGTTTTTGCAGTATGCTGGCTGCCATCCAGTATCATTTTCTTCTTATTCTTGTTTTCATCAGACAGCGCCATGATGTCATCTTGTGCCTTCCAATACTCTGCGCATATTGCCTTTTTTCTGGTTCGATCATACTGCGCTGTAAACCCTTGTATCTGTTTCATATTCAGCGGTAATTATCGTCAAGGTCTTGAGAACCTCCTCGGTTGTTTCTCTACTAATCAAGCTGCCCTGACATAGTTGTCGCCCCAATTTTTTGCAGACTGTTCAGTATTATTCGAAGAATCAAATTTGTTTCCCATGCCAACAGTTGGTTTCCCACATTTTTAATCGCTGTTTTTGTTTTCTAACTTGTAAGGTCAAACCTTTTTGTAAACTCGTGCATTTAGCATATCATATCGAAAATAACAGTCAAGCTCTTACGAACATCGCTTTATTGCATCCAAAATGTTTGAAGTAGCACTCAGTGAAATTCAGTTAATAAATAGAAGAGAGTATTACGATTTTTCCTTTTTTCCTCGTTTATCTATTTTCAGCTGCACATGAAAAAGGACAACGTATTTACCGAGATGAACTGCGATCTCTATAGGATACGTTAAATCCAGTTGTTTCCCAAAACTTGTAAATAATATTTATTTAACACATTTACGTTAGTTTACCTTATAGCAAGAGAAACTTTGTTCAACGGTTAAAACCGTCTTTTAAACTCTGACTAAAGGATTTCGGTCGTATTGTATACAGTTTGCGGTTATTAAAGTTTTACACTCTTCGTGTAAAATAGAGAGGTTTCCAATCAATATGTGGTGGAAAAAGAAAAAGTAAAATCTACTTGACATCTAATATTGCAAATAAATATTATCAAGAAAGCAATGGGAACTAGTTCTGTTTCTGCTTCAGCTTCAGATTATTTGTCATCACAGTCATTCCTTTTTATGGAAAACTAGAGTTTTGGGGAAAAAAAACCCTAATGGATCAAAAATTGCCTCTCTTCCTGAATTCTAACGAGTGCTGAGTTAACTTTAAAAACCTTTAGTCATATTTTTTTACATTGAGAGTAAATGTTACAGAGTCCATTAGGAGGTCAACCGAATTTAAAAAATTCTCATTAAAAAACCGAACTTTTGACGTTCTTCTGGGAGGGACAAATCCTGGAGTAGAAGAGGTATAAAAGTATATATGACCGTAAGCAAAGTGCAGGCTCAGAACTTGTCTCACTCCTGTGAGCCTCATAACGGGGAGAGAGCCTAAAAAGCATCTGCACATTTTACTGCGCATGTCGAACTTGCTCGGGCTCATAATGGAAACCGTGTAGAGGGTAGCAAAGCTGTCTGACTCTCGTGAGTCTCATATTCTCCGCGCAGAAATATATCAATAGGTGTGATCTGCATGTCATGGAAACTTTGAAAAGAGAACATTTTACCGTTTCAATGAGCGACATATGCCCAAAAGAGCCCCTAAATTACAGGGTGACCCTATTCAATGGAATGATAGAACGCTGGAACCGTGAACGGTAGAACGGCGGAATGGTTGAATGGCGGAATATCCCAAAAACCCGTCTTAAGAAGTGGAATAGCGGAATATCCCAAAACGCGGAATGCCTTTTTGTATGAAACAAAAGTCTCACAAAATAGAATTGTGATGAAATACGAAAATAATTCAGAGAGCATTACATGAAACACTTATGAAAGGCTGTTTCGAAAAAGCAAATACATCGCAGAACTAGCTACTTAGCATAAAATGAGCGAAACGATTTGATTCAAAAACTATTACATGCCTAACCTATTCTGAATAACAGCTGGCCATCTGTCGGGTTTTAATTGATGTTTTGGTGCGAATTATTATTTTGGGGTGTATAGGGTAGGAGGATTAGCGCAGATTGAAAATCAAACAAAATAAATATAAGCATCTGTAAGATATCCTTGCATCTAAAAATTAGGGAACCTATTTTTCTCTGTCTCCAATTTTGGTTACAATTGTAAAAATTGTTGTTGAAGTACAAAAGTTCGAATTTTGCATCGAACAGTTATAGTACAAGTTAAGTGTAAATTTTGTACTATTTTTTCGTTATAAAAGAATAGGTGGCTTCTAGAGTCAGAGATCATCTTGCTGAAGACGAAACTGATCCTACAGTTCCAAGAATGTCGGCAAATGTTAGTGCGACGGTGAATGGAACACCAGTAACACTGAACTGCTTGAATCCAGTAGTAAAGAGGATTGGTAAAACCTTTTTTTGCGGCCTGTTACTTGTTTTCTCAGTGTCTGGAAGTTTTTTCATCGCAACAATTGTCCACAAAACTAGATCCATGAGAAAGCCTATTGACTTTTTCTTAGTAAATATGGCCATATCCGATCTTCTGTTTCTTTTTTCCTTTTTTACACACAACACAAACGCTCGGCTCCCGGTTTGATCAGCGGTCCTCTTAGAGATGCGTTGTGAAAGCTGACTGTCTTCTTGGGAGATATCTGCTTTAGTGTGTCTATTCAGAGCCTAGTTTTAGTAGCATTCAATCGATTTGGAGCTGTATATTTTTCCCTCCGTCCCTAACTGATCAGTTCAAAGCTGTGTCAGTTCCTTATTCTTTTCACTTGGATCATCGCTATTCTTACCAGCACCTGGATGAAATAAGTTAACAAATGGAAGCTATTTCCATGGTTTTTCTGTTTTTTGTATTTTTTCAGTTGGTAGTTGTTTTACGATCGCAACTAGTTATTACACTTTTGTTTTTTGATTTTTTTTTTTTTTGGGGGGGGGGCTCTGTTTTTTTTCAACTGAACATGCAGAATAAAAAATTACGTCACTGAGATAAACCGGATTTCCCTTAGACCTATTAGGTCCAATTATTTCACGAAACTTGGAAATAATCATGAATCGAAATGTTGGCTTTCAGAACTAACTTACTTAAATCCTATTTACAATTTACATTATAGCAAGTGAAACTTAGTTCATTGGTTCAAACCGTTGTTTGAACTCTGCTGCTTGTTTTCCGGTTCTACAGTGTTTATTCCCTTACCACCTGTAAATAAAGAGTTTCCGATCAGTTAGAGAGGAAATGAGCAAAAGTTAGATCGAAATGAAATCCAATACGAAAAATAAATGCAATTGACTCCCGATAACTTGAACCTTTAAGGAGAATTGAAGAAGGTTCCACTGAGTTACCGGGAGTTCGAGTTAACGGGAATTGAAAACAAGGGCCCGGGAATGAGAGAAAAACGGTGTTTACTGCTTTTCGTCTTATACAGTATACATTTTAATCCAATTCAATAACAGAGAAGTCGAATGAAAACGGAACGCAAAATTACTGAAAATTACTCCGAGTTAGCGGGAGGCTCGAGTTATCGAGGGATCGAGTAACCGGATATAAAATTTCTGTAAATGTTTAAAGGAAATCCAGGGGAAATCGGTTTTTGGTTCAAGTTAACAGGCGAGGTTCAAGTCAGCAGGGGAAGATTTATGAGTACATGCAGTTGTTTAAGGCAATGGGGATGGGAAAAAAGGGCTCTGATTTGACCCATGTTCTCTATAATCCCCCAAAATATTTTTAATAAAATTGGGAAAAAATGGCTGGTGTGAGTTTTTTTTTTTCCTTTTCATTTCCAAGTGTAAACAGCTTAAACAGACAGCTAAACGTTCAATAGTTACTGTTAGCAATATTATTTGCCGTTAACGACACGCTTAATTTCTCTATTTAAAAACAACTTCCTTTCTCATAAGCGACGATTCTGAGACCAGCTGTCAAAATTCATTCATTATCAGATTTACATTCACATCAGCCCTCGCGTTGAGCTATATTACTTAGCAAGTAGCCACCATTTATTTGTCGAGGGATCTTCTTCAATGACCCAGGGCCATTATTCCTGTGTACGCCTCAAGCAAATTGAGTAAGTAGTTTAGTACATGGCACTCGGACCAAACTTGTTTATTTTGAATTATTGTATAGGTCTTAATAAAAATTTGACTCCTATTAAAAAATAAAAAGTTCAGAATTGATGTAAACTGATAGGATACCTTCTTAATAACCGTCGACCGTTCAGACCCTAAAATTGAACCGTCAAAAGCCTTAACATTTAACCCCTAACCGTCAAAACCGCAAAAATGAAACAATCGTCAACCGCCAGAACTACCTCCCCATTGAGATACTGTCACAAGATGTTATGGATAACTAAAATTAGGAGTGTTTTGGAACAACCAAATTAGGAGTGTTTGGGAACAACTAAAATTAGGAGTGGTTGGGAATTTTTCAGTTATGCCTGTTAATTAGTTTATCTCGAAATCTTTATGCCAGTCTTGTGAGCCTTGGTTTGTCATGTGCTGCAAGACCACACACTTATCTTTGCCTTTTGAGTGATTTGTCCTGACCGTTGTAGGAGGGCTTAATTCTCCCACGATAATCGTCATCGCTAGTCGTGTTTGGGTTTGCCCTTGACTTTGCTTTAAGTCTTCGACGGGGAGTTTTGTTTACGTTTTAGTTCTCAAAGATTGGTTGTTTTTGAGTAATTTGTTGTTAATTTTGAACGTCTTGTGAGATTGTTTTAGTTAGCATTCTAAAAATATGTTTACTCCGCCAAGGTCAGTTGTCCCGTATGCCCAAACATGCCTATCGTAGGATATTTAAGAGCGTGTACTTCGAGCTGAATTCGTGAGAACAGAGACAGAAATACATTTCCTGAACAGATCCTTGTTGTCTCCCGTTTGCTCAAGTTGCTCAAGCTAGTTAACACCAAACAGTCCAGCAAAGAAAGCTATGCAACGAGGTAGGAGATCTCTTTTGCCACTACACAGTTTTGGGCGATAAATGAAATGTGATATATTTTACATTGGTTTTTTAAGTTTAAGTTTCACTTAACTTTCACTTCAAGAAACGGCACTGAGCACTTTTTAAATGTGCCCTTACACTAGGCTTGATATGTTCCGTATTTATATCGATGCACAATTATCTACAAAATTGATTTTACCTCAGATCGTGTTACTCTGAAGGAGATTAAAACATCTTTCATACCACTACGAACATTGGACAACTGCTTGATACTCAAGCAAGTAAATGTTTTGCAGTCAATTCATATGAACATTTCATAAGTTTACACTTGTTTTCAGTTGTAGAGAAGTTGTAGGCTACAATTTGCATACAGACCAAAATTGCGGACAAGGCACAGAGGCACAAATTCAATTACATTAACGACTTTAGGCCGGAACGTTTTCAGCAGAAAAAATAAAATAAAGCAGGATCAGAGTAAATACTTTGAAAACATTACTCGATAATGAGAGTCTTTCGATCAAGACGTATTACAAAAAGAATAAAATATGATAAAATCGAGAGGAGAATAGATTAATTAAGTATTTAACCTCAGTAATCAAAACTCGTGTCAGTTTAAATACCATATTTGTCGGTTCAGTATGAAACCTGAAAAAATGGAAAATAAGGTGAAAAAAAAGGAACTTTTCTAACTCTCCATTTAGTTTAATGCCACATGTTGACGTTATTTTTTATTTATTTCTAAACAAACGCGTGGAAACAAGGAATCTGTTTGATAAATTAATAAAAAATGACGTAAATATGGTTATAGGAAGATCAGCAGTTAGAGATGCGTATATACGTATGATAGATGAGTATAATTACATGTGCTTTCTTTAAATAGAGTATTGGTAGCCTCCAGATACCTACTGGCTGAAGAGAAAACCTATCTCACAGTTCTGAGAAGGTCGGCAATAGTTACTGCAACTATGAATGAAACGAGGTGCTTTAGTCAAGAAGCTGGAAGGGTTGGAATCACGGTGGTATTCTGTTTGCAACTTGTTGTTTCGTTGGTTGGAAATAGTTTTATCGCAATAGTTGTCTACAAGACGAAATCCCTGAGAAAACCCATTAACTTTTTAATCGTAAACGTGGCTATGTCTGATCTGCTCTTTCCGATTTTCCTTATTCCTGAGGAGTTGATTGTTTTATACAACGGTCCCTGGCTGACAAGCGGTCCTCTTGGCCGATCCCTGTGCGCGTTGGTCTTCTTTTCAGTAAAGATCTCCGTTGCTGTATCAGTCCAAAGCCTGGTGCTGATCGCCGTGGATAGATTTGGGGCTGTGGTATTTCCCCGATGTGCCCCACTCATCAGTTCCAAGAAGTGCCAGTTCGTCATTCCCGCCACTTGGATCTTGGCCGTTACTTTCCTTAGCCCCTCTTGGAAACTTGTTAGTCATCCAGATAGGCCAATGTCTGCGGAACAAAGAAACAACTCTTTTGAAGTGCCCTCGTCCTATAGAAACCTCGTTATGGCTATGGATGTGCTATTCCTGGATGCCCCATTGATATTGATCTGCATAATTTACCTAGTTATTGCTTTTAAAATAAAATCCCAGAAGATTCTAATCGAGCAATCAGCCAACGCGAGGGGACAACGTTTACAAAGAGAGCGAAATGTTTTGAAGATGTCCATTGCTATCATGTTAGGGTTCGCGGTGTGCTGGCTGCCATATAGTATCGTCGTCCTCTATCCGTTAGACATAAAAGCATCTTGTGGCATCCAATATTTCACAGGTTTTGCTTTCATTCTGGCCAACTCATATTGCGCCATAAACCCATTCATCTGTTTCGTTTTCTGTGGAAATTACCGACGAGGTCTTAAACGGCTCTTCAGTTGCTTCTATGTTGGTCAGAGGGTCGATGAAATTGCATCTTAGTTTGAGTCCTGCGCTGTTGTATTTTATCCACAACAATATTCAAGGATTTAATTTTGGCTAAGCTTTTTACACTGAGACCTACAAAAAGGCATGTCTTTCACGTGAAAGTCCCCGGTTGAACAATCGAGCCGAATTGTGGATATTTCTTAAGTTTGTCCATAAAAATACAGGCTCCGGTCAAAGCCAGGTACCAACTTTTACTTCTCAAAACGAGATAAGTTCCTTTATTCGGGAATTTGAAGCCTTGTGAGCTAACTTGCATTTAGAAGGTATATAGTTCAAACTTAGAGCTTTAGAAACTTTGAGTACCGGTTAAACCGGATCTTTGGTTTAACTATTGCTTTGTGGCATACATTTTAAATACATGATTTGAAGAAATTACTTGAAAATGTTTTACCACATGAGAATAAAAACAATAGTTTGTAGAAAGAAAAATAAAATGAATTATTTAACAGTAACTTAGCGGTGTCCATTTTGTTGCCATGGTTTCCTCTTTAGTGTAATCTGCGACTTGAAAAATGAAAATGAATTCAGAAAAAATGTATTAAAACTTTCTGCTTCTAATGTCAACCAAATAATATCTTGTATCTTCTTTGCATGGAGTTGATTCCTGTGGTGCCATTCAAAAAGTCTATGAACCCCGAAGCACATGTAGAAATACAGCTCTATTTCGTGCGGGGGTCTGTAAACGGAGCGCCTTCAACAGTTAAGTTTGGTGCCGTAAATAAATCAACAAGTTACAAATTGGTCCTCTCCTGGTCGTTTCTTCTTTGCCTTCGCAAACTCTATTCCGCGAAAAAATGTAAAATACCAAAAGTTAGAATCCATGCAATTTCTGTTTGAATGGATATTTGAAAATGTCGCGGCTTTGCCCGTTCAGTTCATAAACTTAAAGTTTAGGGTTCAGGCCGGAGACAAGCGTAAAACAAAGGAAAATTATTTATTTGCTTGAAAAAAATTTTTTTTGACAAAGATGTTTTTCGTCTTGTCCCGAGCGTGGGACAAAGACACAGAAACTCCATGGTGAGCAAGGTCCATTACGAAGGTCATATTTTATATCTTATTTACAAAACATATTCGATTTAATGAAAACATCCATGACAATATCGACATTGCTGATCCTTGCAATATAAAGGACGTGTGTCATATACGAACTTTCGTAATGGACCTCTGTTTATTCTGTTTACAACTTTCTTTTTTTCGAAACCGAGGTTTGCGCCTTTTTTAGCTCCTCCTCTATCTTTTTGTGCCTAATGTTCCTTCCTTCTTGGAACGAGTCTGATCCAGTTTCTTTGGATTCATTTTTGGTTTTGTCGGGTTTAGTTCAATGTTTGCTCAGGGTCTCATCTCTGCCTTTCGACATTGTTATTGATTTGAACGTAAAAGCTACGTCGTCAAACATTCTCACACGTGCGTTTTACCCTGAACATATCTATCATATCCTTTGAAGAAATATATGTTATTTGCCGGCTGGGAGGTCTGTATGGTGAAAAACTGTGACTGAGGTCTTGAAAATACTGCCCGAGGCCGTAGGCCGAGGGCAGCATTTTCAAGTAATTTAGTGTTAACAACTGGGTTGAAAACGTAAATTAGCCACCGTAAAGGGTAAAAAAGCTGACGTTTCGAGCGTTAGCCCTTCGTCAGAGCGATTAGAGGAATTGTGGGTTGTGTGTGGATTTATATGTAGAAAGTGGAGCTACGCCATTGGTGGGAATATGGTGACGAGAAAACAGGAATAAATTAGTTGAATGAAAAGCGCTCATTGATTCCGTGGGGATTAAGGGTGCCGATTTGGAATATAAATTTTTGTTCCAGTGTTTTACGGCTTTCCGAACTGCCTTGATTTCAAGACCTAGGTTGACAGTTTTTCACCATACGGACCGACCCTTAGCCGGTAAATAACATATTTATTTTTTTTAAACTTGACGAGATTCTTTCCGAAAGAACCCGAATGATTTAGGGCTGTAAATACGGCAAGATCTTCCATAAACTGAACAATTTTTGACCGAGTAACTGGTTAAAATAGAGGTGGTGCAAATTAAAGAGAGATGCCTCACCGAAGCATTTTCATTTCCGCAACGATAAAGGTGATTTAAAAGGCTTCTTAACAAACTTTGAAACATTATTTTTACAAGTACCTGTCACAATCTAGCACCTGTCAATTAGAGAGCGCGTAAGAAGAAAAAAGCGCAAGAAGATTTGAAAAACAACGGAACTAGTTTGGCAAGGACTGTCACGACAATGTTTTCTTCAAAAACAGTCAATGATCTAACGAAAAGTATTATTCACTCTGATCGACGACTCATTCATGTTCGAAGATTTACCTCTGTTCATTATGGAAACGGCAAGGAAAATGATTGTGAGTAAATTCAAATTTTTTAATTTGAAGTTGTGAGAGTTTACTCGTTTGTTTGCTGCAATGGCGTGTGTAAATCTGGTCTTTCGTCCACAAAAACTAAATTCGAATGGCACACTCCAACGAGACACAAGGGGATTTAAGGCAGCCTTTTCTCAATAAATTCCTTCAGTTTCTGTTGTGCAATTTACGGTACAAATGTCCAAATTGAACGGACTTGGAAAGACTCACCGGGAGCGTATATTTTTTGTAGAACTGAAATTAAAACTTCTCTCGCTCTTTCACTACGAAAAATTGTTTGAGAAGATTCAGATATTAAATAAATGAAAGTTCCATCGTTCAGTTAACTGTAACCAAGTACCTCACGTTTTAACTTTCTAGTTATTTTTTGTGAACGATTAAAATTAATTGCAGACGGTTTTTAGGCCGCTTGTCAACCAACGTAAGGACGCTATTGCTTACACAAATTCATTCTGAAACCAATATTTTTCTGTCAACCAAAGTGATTTGAGAGAGAGAAAAGAGAGGATTCATTAGTTATTTATCGGCTTGAGGTAGTGGCCGATGTGTTTGCTTAAAAATACCACTCAGCCGGAAAAACGAGATATATTTATGAAAAATGGTAACGAAAGTTGGGATGTACCGGCTCGGCGACTCACAAAAGCGTTACCGTGACCCGTGGGCAGAGATAGGAAAATACTGACCGGGTAAAGAACCAATCAGATTGCAGGATTTGTTACCGTGCCCTCTAAAAAAAAAAATAAGAATGTTTATTGAAAAGGAAAAAGAAGAAAAAGGAAAGGAATGAAAAGACAAATAAAAAAATCAACGTAGCCAGGGCTCGAACCTACTACCTTCAGACTCGAGAGGAATAATGTGAAAATTCAGTTGATGCACATTAAAGACATGTACATATTCTATTAATTTCTTGCCCTGTCCCCAACTTGTCAATAGTCCATTAAAAGTTGTGTATTTGGTTGCCAAGCCTTTTAACAGGAGTGGGGCTAAGGGTGACCTTGTTATGATACAAACCTTGCTGCTTTTCAAATTTAAATTGCTTTGTTGTTATACTAACTAGGTACTGGTCTCTATAACAGTAATGTCACCTTCAGCCTCACTCCAAATAAAAGGCTTGCTGTTGCCCAGTGCACAAACTCTCGTCTGACCAAGTCTTTCTTTTCTCACAAGTTTGGCATTGACATGAGCTATTTATCAACCTCTCTAAACATTTCACACTACATTGCATTTTTACTGATATTCTACACAACTATTGTAAGTCATGGACTGCCTTTTTTTCTCTTACGGTACTCGTATTACCATTACTTGCTGTAACCACAGGGATCTAGATTTGTCGCTCGACAATGTTTACACCCTAAATAGAAGGCTTCGCCGGAGTGCAGAACGTAAGTGAGTTCATACCGGTCATCATGTTACAGCAAAGGAAAACGGAAAAAGTGAACAAATGAATGGAATAAAATTGGCATTGACATAATCATTACAATTTCCTCAAATATAATTCACCTTCTGGGCTTTAGATTTCACGTGTAATGTCACGTGACTTTTGATGTAAACAAACCCCGAAAGTACGGACATTGAGTTGAGCTCGCAGCACACGACTCCAAACTTCAGCTTTGGCAATTTTTTTTAAATAACCTCCTACTTTCAAGAAGCGTTTCTTCGCTCAAAATTGACATCTTTCTTGTATCATTGATTTGATTATGTACCAAGCAAGTTGTTACTTCGCTGCCGTTGAAGTAGATCATGTCGAAGAATGTGTCAGGAAGAATTGCGGCATGGAATAATCGAACTAGTTTTGCGTACGGCGATGAATCTGATCAGGTATTTTCAGGGTGTTAAGCATTATGTAACCATTATGTTTAAGTATTCACTTACATAACAACTGAAATCGTACACGTTCATAAAGTTGAAATCGTTTTATTTTTGGGAATCAACGCTTACTTACGTTCTACAGCAATTCGTGGGCACTAATTTCCTGTCAGACGTGGGTCTATTTGACAATCTACGCAGGTAACTCCCAGAAAATACGTGATCAGATACATCACTGTACGCAGAACTAGTTCGATTATTCCATGCCGCAATTCTTCCTGTGACATTCTTCAAAATAACTACTTGCTTGATAAACGATCAAATAAATGATAAAAGAAAGATGTCAATTTTGAGCGAAGAAACGCTTCTTGAAAGTGGGAAGTTATGTAAGAAAATTTGTCAAATTCATGTGCTACGAACTCGACGCAATGTCCGAACTTTCGGGGTTTGTTTACACTAAAAGTCACTTGACACTACACGTGAAATCTAAAGCCCAAAGGGTGAATTGGTGCATTAGCTGTGTTATTTTTCACTAATTACTCTGTGGAGTTGTAATCGGACAGTTGATTACGTTCACTCAGCTAAATCCACCAATCACAAATTTCCTAACTTCAAAATATTTTTAAATCAGTTGGCAAACATCGGTTTTTTTCGCATTTAGTGTGAACGTTTTCGTTTCCAGACGTAAACAGCAGACAGAGGACCGCTAAACACTCAATGATCGCCATAGGCAGTACTATTTTCCGTTTACAGGCATGACGCTTTCTCCATTTTCAAACAACATCCTTTGTCGTACGCGATGATTCTGAGACATGCTGTCAAACTTCGTTAAATATCATTACATAAGTCTATTTGCGTACTCGCCACCTCGTCACGTCCTCAATTCTTGTTTGTTTTAAATTCAAATCCAGCCTTGCATTGAGCTATCTAACTTAAGAACGAGTTACCCGCATTCATTTGTAGAGGGAACTTCTTCAGTGACAGCATGAGAGCCAATATTCTCCAGTGCGGCTCAAGCAAGGTGGGTGAATAGGTCATTATATGGCACTCGGACCGAACTTGTTAATTTTGAATTTTTATTTTGAAATTGGCTTTCGCGACCAAAATACACGGTTTATGACCGTTTGATGTTGTTTGCACCTGTGATATCGGTGACTAATGTATTTTTTGAAAGTAATATTTATTGTTAGAAGCTTTACAACTCCTCCTCCGTTCATTTCTTAAGAGAAAAAACTGAATAAGTTTTAGTATAAATTGACTCGTATTAAAAAAAAAAATGAAAAGCCCAGAATATCGTTTAACTCGATACAGCCCATTTGAAGTAAAAAGGAGTATTAAAGGGGGCCAAGAAGACGAGATAGTTATAACTTTTTCGGTTTGTTTCTCAACGCTAAGAGGAAAAGTAGCAGCAGAATTTCGAGAAACCACATTAAAAATAAACCCAGGTGGCTTGCTAGACATCCATGGCGACTTAAAAGTGATCATTATAGTAAACTAAACGCAAAACAGCCATTAATTATGTCGTTTGACCGAGCGGACCTGAGAAGTTTATTTGACAAATGAGTGAAAATATTCTAAAAACAAATTATTAAGCACAAAATAATTCATTTGAAAGAGTATAAAACCTAGATTATCCTAAATTAAGATGACAATTATTGAAATAGTTTTTCTCTTTTTTTTCTTGTTCTCTATTGTGGGTTCACATCTCAGGTACAATTAAGCGCGCGTTGTTGTAACTCAACTCAAGACATTTTTTCATCCTGAACGTAATTGTTCGTAGTCAGCCTCAGCTGAAACTCAGTTCCACGAAGACTAAGATCCCTTGTAAATTTGGCCGTTAAATGGTTGGATTAATTGGCCGTAAGCTGTAAAGTAAAAACTGTCAGGACTCTCGATTCGTTCGAGCACAAAAACGTTGGACGTTGCGACGAGAAGGTGGTCGTATTAACCGAATGTTCATAAGGCGAAGTTCTTTTGTGATTTATCGGCAGAATGACTTTAACTTAAGTTGAGTTTGGTAAAACTATATTTTCATTTATTCAGCCAGTTTCTTTTCAATTTTAAACGTCGTTATCAATGTTTGCTATCAATGTTTGCTTGACATCAGTTGCAATTAGTGGTAGCCCGAATTGTGAATAATATTATCAATCGATCGTTATGGAAACTTTATTCGAGGCGATGGCGTGTAAACATCTTCATCAAATTTAAAGTCACCTGAAACTTGCCATGAGAAAGTCAAACAGCCTGGATCAAGACTCTCTCTTGAGATCCTAAGATCTTCCTCACTCAAAGACAGGTATGATCCAAAAACTTTGTCTTCCAATGCATTTCTAGAAATTCGAGGGTGACACACTTGAGTTACTATAGTTAGCAATAAAGGGAACGACAAATGTTGAAAATGTTACAAAGGTGCAAAGCAGTGTTCTGATGACAATGATAACCTTTCAATTTCGAAGTTGACTTTCACCAAGAAATTATGAATTTCTTCTTTTTCAAGTTTAAATTACGACGACCTAATAATCCAGTACATCCGTACATACGACGACCTAATCATCCAGTGACCGTTTGAGCTCTCAGGATTGTTGACTTGTAAGGACGGAAAGCGGAGAGTAGAGTAAGCCTTCTCGAGATTTCTAGAATAGTTTTATTCCAGCAAACGAGCCACAGACTACTTGGTTTTATGAACTGAATTGATAAAGTGAATTGACCACCATAGAGATTCTTGAGCGTTAGCCTCTCGTCAGAGCGAAGGTCTCAAGGCCTGCTGTTTTCGTGCCTGCTCATTCAGCAAAAACGAACAGTTCATTTCCGCTCAGTGTGTCGGTCGCACGTATGTCTGGCTTCTTGAAGATTACAGCTGATCTCAAGACTAAGTCACTAAAACATTCTAGACCTCAGAACAGTTATATACGAAATAACCGTGACGGGAGGAACTGGTCAAACACGGGTCTGCCAGAGAGTTATTTTTTGAACAGAATATTCGTCATTCCTAATACTCTGAAATATATTTGATAAAATGACCATGAATTGAAAATGAGAACAATGCAATTGAGCACTGTATGATTATTACCAAAAAACGTCTTCATTCTGATAACCTTTTCTTTTAGTTCTCAGAGAATGTTAATATAAAGGAAAGTAATGAATACATTCTGAAGAGTTCTTTTGAGGAAAACTAAGTGAGCTTTTAGGCTTCTTGGTTTTTGATATGTAAATCCTCTTTCAAATGGAAAATAATCTGAGAGTGTTTTGCTGTAATGTTTAAAGGGCGGAAATTACAAATCACGTTCATTTGGAGTGCAACAACTGCTGCAATCTGAAACACAAATTAACAGGAGATAGAGTAGTTACTCTACGGGCGAGGCCGTTTTTCGCATGCAACCTTTGACTTTGGCTGCGCCTCGTGTGCCACTGATGTTCTTACCACATTTTGACGTCCTCTGTGATCTATTACTGAACAGACGCACAGCAACTTGGAATCTATTTGTTTTATATAATAAAGAATTAAAAAAAGTTTTAATGATGATGTCATCTATACGTCTGTCCTCCAATAGATCATAAGTGAGAACCAATCAGAATGCGTGCATAACTGAGCTTATTATATAATTGTAATTGTCACAGCCAGCAATGTCTCCTACGTTTTCTATTTTTGCAGGCCTAGCAAGGAAGAGAGGTTCTTTTTTGCCATGGATGAGTCAGAAAATGCGATTAACTCGACTGCCTCGCCAGACATTCACAATCTTGATGTCTCACCAACTATGATGACATTTTCCATAGTTTACGTCATCATTATCATCGCTTCGCTGTTGGGAAATATCACAGTTTGTGTGGTCATACTGACCACCAGATCCCTGCGGCAATCCATCAACTCGTGCTTCATCCTCTCCCTGGCAGTTTCTGATCTGATAACAACTTGTCTGGTGATGCCGTTTGACTTGGAGCAGATCATTTCATTCGGGCGCTGGAGACATGGTGAGATCATGTGCAATGTCTGGACGACAACATACTTAATTGCTGTACCCACTTCCATTCTAAGCTTGTTGGCTTTGACAGTTTATCGATACCGACTCCTTCGAGAACCTCTGGACATCTACAAGGCATCGCCACTGATGACTCGCAGGCGAGCCTCTATAGTCGTTTGCTGTTTATGGGCATACTCCATACTCTTTTCATTCACCCCTGTCTTTGGCTGGAAATGGCGTCCGAGAAGTGTTTACTTTGAGTACTGTAATTTCAATCTCTCTTTGACTTATTCAGTCTTGAGTTCGATGATAAATTTTGTGACACCAGTTATAATAGCTTCCCTTCTTAACTGCAGAATGTTCTGCCTCGCAATCAAGCGGTCGCATACTCAGAAAGCTGACCGCAGAAATGGCAAGACTCATCAAAACCCAACAAGACCTACTAATCCAGTCCAAGACAGCGCCATTTCACCCCAAAAAGAACAACAGCTTGTCGAATCCATGCGATTACAACATGAAGCCATCCTCATCAGAAAACTACAAGGAAGGAACATTCGCGCAGCCAAGACAACGTTTCTAATCGTTTTCTCGTTCGTGATTTGTTGGCTGCCTCACTCATTTCTGAGCATCATTATCACTTTGTGCAGGACGTGCGCTTTAAAGATCCCATACTATCTTCAGTGGATCTTTCTCATGATGGGTTATCTTAATTCAGCTATTAACCCCGTTTTGTACAGCTTTCGGAGTTCTGAATTTAAGAAGGCGTTTAAAGATTTCAATAGAAAGAAGCGCCTCTTTCGAGGTGCACAAATCCGGGCCAAGGTCGCGCGCGCTATATCTTTGAAAAGGCGTGCAGTACCACTACAAAATATACCTTCCACTGACGATTTCGGAGTTAATTTGACATTTTGTAATCAATTTAATAGTACTAAGGAGATTTCTGAAGTAAATTTGTAACTCTCTCGTCACATACCTCTGGGAAAGTGTGAGTTAGACGAATGAGACAAATTAGAGTATTTGAGCGCAAGTTACACACGTACATGAAAATATCGGTAACGAACACTATCATCAGTTTCGGAGAAATATTTCTGTAATTATGATGAAAAAAGGATAAAATAAACATCAAATATAAAACTCTCAGCTTGTTTCTGTTTGTCTCAGGCCTGCTGAAAAGGGAGAATTTATCAGCATACCACTGCCTTTTTTTTCTTTCCCAATTTTTATTTGTTAGTTTCCTCTTTCATCTCCACTTATGTCTGGTTTACCACCCTGTACTCAGTAATTCAAATAAAGTTCAAATTGCACCCTCTCTTTTACGGTTTGACCCCTGGGTGTTTACGATCGCCATTTAACAATACGCATCTACTATTTTCAAATTCTCATTTAATCCGATGAGTCTCAAGAACAGATTCTTTAGAAGCTAAAAATATCACATCTACAAGGAATAGGCAACGGCGTTTACATTAGAAATTGGTATCGTCACAAAACAGTCTTAGATAGCAATTACATTGTTTTTTTGGATCAATATCATTATCTGGGCAACTGCCCACCTACCCCTCCCCTAACTCAACAACAGTTAATGTTGGGTTAGGGGTAGGTGGGCAGTTGCCCAGATACTGATATTGATCCGTTTTTTTATTGAGGACTATAAACTTGATCAAAAAGTTATCAGAATCATGATTATAAGCCAAAGCCTCACAGACTGTTCAACCACATTCGTTTACTTTACTTCCTTTTTGTTCTGTGCTACTTAATTCAATTGACTAAATTATAAACCTACCTTTCAGAACTTGTTAGATAAAATTTATTTTAAACTATTAGATCTATTCATGAATGGTGTATGTTTTGCATACTTCTAAGTTTTAAATCTAGAGTTTAATCTAAATAAAAGCAGGTTAGCGATAAGTCTGGTACCTTGATTTGTAAGTATCGCATCTGAGAACACTCACTGGGCCAAAAACTAAATTATTTGCAGCGCTTACAAATTGTACAGATCTCAGCCATTTGATCAAACATGCCTGTAGATCAAAAGTTGATATTTTTATTGCTCGCGAGGGCTATAGCAGCTTCCAAGAGAGAGATGTTTCATCGTGGTTTTTCTTTCCTCTTGTAAACAAAATAGACAGGAACACCAGGGACGAAGGAAAAATGCTAAATTACAAACATTGCTCTCGCACACATACTGCAACGAAGCAAAAATGTCAAACTGGCATATTGCGGAGTGCAAAATTGTTCCAATTGTTCCATATATATGATTTTCTTATATCTACAATCATTATTCGTCACTTGGATGGTTCATTTGGCTCCAACATAATGACCAGCTCCCAGTTGGCTTGTTAGCTCAGTTGGTAGAGCGCTGCATCGGTATCGCAGAGGTCATGGGTTCAAATCCTGTACGGGCCTGAATTTTTTTCAGGTCTTATTTCAACTACTAGTTCAGTAGTGTTCATAGCTGCGAGGATCTCTTATATTCGTTTCTTCACCGCAATGCATACATATGACTTTCATATATCTACAATCATTATTGTTCCAACTTGTCCCAGTATTTGGCTGGAAACCACTTCCAAGAAGAGTTTATTATGAATACTGTTATTTCAACCTCTCTTCAGCTTATTCAGTCTTAAGTTCGATGATAAATTTTGTGACACCAGTTATAATTGCTTCCTTTCCGCCTGAACTGCAGAATGTTCTGCGTCGCAATCATGAATCATGCGGGCGCATCCTCCAAAAGCTGGCCGGCGAAATAGAAAGACTAAGCACACGAATAGATTCAAAGTAAAGAGAGGGAAAGTTTCAGTAGCAGAACCAGGAGGCATTAAAAACCCAGCAAGGCTTAGTACAGTCCGAGAGAGCTCCAATTCACCTACCTCAAAACAAAAACCCATCGAATCTATGCAATCACAACATGATGCCATCCTCATCAAAAATTACAACAACGGAACACTCGCGCGGCCAAGACAACGTTTCTGATCGTTCCCTCGTTCGTGGTCTGTTGGCTACCTCATGCATATCTGAGCATCATGTACAGTGACATTTTGTGTCGGAAGTGTGCCATCGATATCAAAAAACATCCTGAGTTGGGTACCGTCTTTCTTATGTTGGGTTATCTTAATTCAGCCATTAACCCCGTTTTATACAGCTTTCCAAGTTCTGAATTTAAGAAGGCAGCTAAAGATTTCATTAGCAGAAGGCGCCCCTCTCAAGGTGTACAAATCCAAACAGAGAACACTCGCGCTATGGAAAGGCGTGCAGCAACTCTGTAGACTAAACCTTCCGTTAACGATTTTGAAATTAATTTGACATTAATGAATGCTGGGGCGATTTGTGAAGCATAGTTGTAATTATCTCGTCACATACTTTTGAAAAAATGAGAGTTGGAAGGAGAGCGCAAACTGATAAAAGTGCTGCGAGGGGAGAAATAGTTTACATATAATTTCACTTTTTTTTTTCTCCCAAGTTATTCTGTTTCTCTTTCCTTCTCACCTCTAATGTCTGGTTACACACCATGCACTCCATATTCCAAATAAAGTTGAAATTGTGCATGAACATTGTTCATGTAATCGCTACATCACAATAAATATCTACTGTTTCAAATTCTCGGTTATGGATCATAAGAACAGATTCCTCAATGGTTAGAAATATCACATTCAAAGGGAATAAGCAACTGGGTTTTCATTAGAACTCGGTACCGCCTCAAAACAGTCTCAGATAGTCTCAAACTTCGGAGAAAAAAGTTAAAATAAGAACTAGAATACAGAAGGATTCGTTTTGTAATATGATTATGGCCTTTGATAGACAACATAAATGAACAAGAAAGGAATAATAGCAGATTATTCTATTGAAATACGTCAAAAGAGCTGAACCAACCGTTGAGGTTTTTATTTGCAGCGACCAAACAAAAACAGACATTATCAAGGGATGTTATGTTGCAGTGCTTGAATATGAATCTCACCTTCCAATGTTTACTGATTTACCCAACGAATATCTCGGTAAACCTTGCCAAAGATCCTTTATAACGGACCCTGTTGTGTTGTGGTTTTGATAGCAGTGGATCGATTCGTAGCTGAGGTATTTCCCATCCGTTCCCCACTGATCAGTTCAAAACTGGCACTGCAGGTTCTATATCCTCGCCACTTGGATCATTGCCTTGGCTGTCTGGTGCCCAAACTTGCTCGTCTATACCCTTGTCGAGTATCCAACGAAGCAGTACTGCATGCCACGACGGAATGGCGCATTTGATGACTTCAAGTCCTTCCTAGACTACAATATAGCATGGTGCGTTGTACTCTTGTATGTCACTTTGGCTTTAATGTCCATTCTTTATTTTGTCATTGCCTTGAAAATTAAATTGCAGAAGACTCCGGGCGAACAATCAGCCAACGTTTAAATGAACGTTTTCATTCTCAGGTGTAAGTAGCTGAAAGAAGACCGCTAAACGTTCAATAGTCGCCGTAAGCAGTACTATTTGCATTTAACGTCACGCTTTCTCTATTTTAAAACAACGTCCTTTCTCGTGCGTGATGATTCTGAGACCAGCTGTCAAGCTTCGTTCCATATCATTAAATAGGTCTATTTCGCTACTCGCCATCCCGTTCGTTTTAAATTCAAATCCAGTCTTGCATTGAGCTATCTAACTCAGGAAGGAGCCACCATTTATGTGTAGAAAGAACTTCTTCAATGACTGCATGAGAGCCAATATTTCCCAACACAGTTCGAGCAAGGTGGGCAAGTAGCTCATTATTATATGGCACTCGAACTTGTTAATTTTGAATTTTTATCTTGAATTTGCTTTCGCGTTCAAAATAGACGGTTTAAGACCGTTTCCGTAATCAGCAAAGTTTGTTTGCACCTGTGATATCGGTAACTAAGGTATTGCTTGAAAGTAGTCATTATCGTCAGATGTCTTACAACTCCTCTTCAGTTCATTTCTTCCGAGAAGAAACTGAAAATAGCGTTTAAATATAAATTGACTCGTACTGAAAAAATGAAAAGCCCAGAATATCGGTTTAACTCAATACAGCCCATTTGAAGGAAAAAGGAGTACTAAAGGGGGACAAGGAGACGAGAGAGTTATAACTTTTTTTTGTTTGTTTTTCAACGCTAAAGGGAAACATAGCAGGAGAATTTCGAGAAAGCAAATTAAAATTAAGCCCAGGTGGCTTGCTATCCATGGCGACTTGAAAGTGATCGTTAAACTAAACGTAAAATAGCGAATAATTACGTCGTTTGACTGAGCGGACCTGGGAAGTTTATTTTACAAATGAGTGAAAATATTCGAAAAACAAATTATTGAGCACAAGATAATTCATTTGAAAGAGTATAAAACCTAGATTGTCCTAAATCAAGATGAAATTATTGAAAGAGGTTTTCTTTTTTTTTTCCTGTTCTCTATTGTGGGTTCACATCTCAGGTACAATTAAGCGCGCGTTGTTGCAACTCAACTCTTCAGGTTAGACATCCTCAGCTGAAACTCAGTTCCATGAAAAACATTTCCCTTGTAAATTTGGCCGTTAAATGGTTAGATTAATTGGCCGTAAGCTTTAAAGTGAAAATTGTCAGGACTCTCGATTCGTTCGAGCACAAAAAAACGCTGGACGTTGTGACGAGAAGGTGGTCGTATTAACCGATTGTTCATAAGGCGAGGTTATTTTATGATTTATCAAGAGAAGATAATGAGACTTCATTTCCTCTTGGTTTTAGGAATTGAATTTTTACGAATTGGTCCAAATACTTCTCTCCTTTTTTGTTTTATTTCCGCGTTTGAGAAGATTGGACTTCAACTTATCGAGGAAGCTTTAAACGGAAGTCTCCATCAATCATTTTCCCGATGTGATCGCGTGCAAGTAAGCCATCTGTTCTCCCCCATCAGACATAGAGGAGGCTTTGTCTGACTTTATTATACCGACTTCAGCAGCTGCGTAATTTTGTCCAGTGAAAAACAAATTCTCCCGGTGACAAAGAAATATTACCACCAAATACATAAATTAGAAATCGGTTCTTTATTTCAGCTCTTATTTTAGTCAGCAATTAGGCCTTTACAGTGTGATTCCTTTTCCTGTCTGATTTACGTTACCAAACCAATAGTTTCGAAGTACATCTTTCGGTGGACATGAATGTAAGGCAGTACTTGCATGCTTTGGCAGAATAACTTTAATTTAAGTTGAGTTTAGTAAAACTAAATTTTCATTTATGCAGCCGGTTTCTTTTCTATTTTTAACGTCATTATCAATGTTTACTGTCAAAAAATGGACATCAGTTGCAATAAGTGGCAGCCCGAATTTTGAATAACGCGATCAATCGATTGTTATGGAAAATTTACTCTGGGCGATGGCGTGTAAACATCTTTATCAAATTTAGAGTCATCTGAAACTTGCCATGAGAAATTCAAATAGCCTGGATCAAGACTCTCTCTTGAGATCCTAAGAACTTCCTCAAAGACAGGTATGATCCAAAAACTTTGTCTTCCAATGCATTTCTAGAAATTCGAGGGTTACACACTTGAGTTACTATAATTAGCAATAAAGGGAACAACAAATGGTGATTATATTACAAAGGTGCAAGCCAGTGTTCTGATGACAATAATAACCTTTCAAATTCGAAGTTGACTTTCACCGATAAAATATAAATTTCTTCTTTTTCAAGTTTAGCTTTAAAACATAAGCAACCTAATCATCCAGTGACCGTTTCAGCTTTCAGGATAGTTGACTTGTAAAGACGGAGAGCGAAGAGTAGAGTTAGCCTTTTCGAGATTTCTAGAATAGTTTTATTCCAGCAAACGAGCCACAGACTACTTGGTTTTATGAGTTGATAATGTGAATTGACCTCTATAGAGATTCTGACACTGATGTCTCAAGCGTTAGTCCTTCGTCAGAGCGAAGGTGTCAAGGCCTGCTGTTTTCTTGCTTGCTCATTCAGCAAAAACGAACACTTTGTTTCCGCTCAGTGTGTCGGTCGCATGTTTGTCTGGCTTCTTGAAAAATACAGCTGATCTCAAGACTGAGTCACTAAAACATTCTAGACCTCAAACAGTTGTATACGAAATAACCGAGACTGACGGGAAGAACTGGTTGAACACGAATCTGCCAGAATGCTATGTTTTAACAGAATATTCGCCATTCTTAATACCTCGAAAGATATTTGATAAAATGATCAAGAATTGATAGTGAAAATAATGTAATTGAGCACTGTATGATTATTATTAAAGAACATCTTTCTTTTAGTTCTCGGAGGATGTTAATATAAGGAAAGTGATAAATAAATGCTGAAGAGTTCTTTTGAGGAAAACTAAAGAAATGGAAAATAAGCTTTTAGGCTTCTTGGTATTTGATATGGAAATCCTTTTTCACTTGCTGATGGACTTATGAAAAATAAGCTCAGAATGTTTTGCTGTAATGGGTGAAGGGCGGAAATTACGAATCACCTTCATTTGGAGCTAAACAACAGCTGTTATCTGAAACACAAATTAGCAGGAGATAGAGTAGTTACTGTAAAGGCGGGGTCGTTTTTCGCTCAGGTTTTTTTTCTTTTTTAAATATTATTCTGCAAACAAGTCAGCGTAGTCAAAAGCACCACGCATATTGAGCAGAGTCAATTTCTGAAAAAAAAACTTAAGAATGTCCCATCGAATCAATTATTTCATCCCAGTGACAGTCAGTATCAAGTCTTCATCAGAGCTCTTTCTAAATTACTCGGAGACATTATCAGTTTTTGCAGATGCATTTCGATTTGCAATGGACGGTTTGGTTACTTAGCAAATTTGATTAAGACACCATAAGTGCTCCCGCAATTATTATTATAAAAAAAATATGTTTCGAGCAACATTCATTAATTTTTCGAGCCAATTAATTTTGGTTTAAGCCAATCAGATGCTAGTGAGATACATAGAGCAATACCCCCTCTTTCTTTCATTTTTTCAGGCTTAACAAAGAAAAAAGGTTCTTGTTGGCCATTAATGAGTCAGAAAATGCGATAAACTTAATTGACCGCTCACCGGCCATTTACAATTTGCATCACCTCAATAGTCCAAGTTAAGCTTTCATCTGAGATCATTCTTGATTACCAGTTGACAGTATCAGTTGATACTTACCAAATTTGTTTAAAAGATTAAAACTGTCAGCGAAAATACCACACTGTAAGAAAAAATATAGTCTCGTTTTATGCATGCAACCTTCCATTCTGGTTTCAGCCAATCAGATGCTTGTACATGTATGTATATTTGTAATTGTCACAGCCAGCAATATCTCCGTTTTTTTGCAGGCCTAGCAAGGTAGAAAGGTTCTTTTCGCCATGAATGAGTCAGAAAATGCGATAAACTTGACTGCCTCGCCAACCATTCACAATCTTGATGTCTCACCAATTATAATCACATTTTCCATAATTTACGTCATCATCATTATCGCTTCTCTGCTGGGAAATATCATAGTTTGTGTGGTCATACTGAGCACCAGATCCCTACGGCAGTCCATCAACTCGTGCTTCATCCTCTCCCTGGCAGTTTCTGATCTGATAACAACTTGTCTGGTGATGCCGTTTGATGTGGAGCTGATCATTTCATTCGAGCGCTGGTTACATGGTGAGATCATGTGCAATGTATGGACGACAACATACTTAATTTCTGTACCCACGTCCATTCTAAGCTTGTTGGCTTTGACAGTTTATCGATACCGACTCCTACAAGAGCCTCTCGACATCTACAGGGCATCGCCGCTGATTACTCGCAGGCGCGCCTCCTTAATCGTTTGCTGTTTATGGGCATACTCTATGCTCTTTTCACTCGCCCCAGTCTTTGGCTGGAAACGGCGTCCAAGAAGAGTTTACCGTGAATACTGTTATTTCAACCTTTCTTTAACTTATTCGGTGTTAAGTTCGTTGATAAATTTTGTGATACCAGTTGTAATCGCTTCCTTTCTGAACTGCAAAATGTTCTGCGTTGCAGTCAAGCGGTCATATCCTCAGAAAGCTGGCCGTAGAAATGTCAAGACTCATCAAAACCCAACAAGACCTACTAATCCAGTCCAAGACAGCGCCATTTCACCCCAAAAAGAACAACAGCTCGTCGAATCCACGCGATTACAACATGAAGCCATCCTCATCAGAAAATTACAAGGAAGGAACATTCGCGCAGCCAAGACAACGTTTCTAATCGTTTTCTCGTTCGTGGTCTGTTGGCTGCCTCACTCATTTCTAAGCATCATTAGCCATCTGTGCATGACGTGCGCTTTAAAGATCCCATATTATCT